GAAGGAACAACAAAGCCAGCACGAGTGCAGTAGCAACATTGGCCTTGCGAAGATATACCGTGCAGAAATTCACACAAGTGTAATTGTTGGTTCATTATTCAACAACCAACTACATAGTGGATTTTGAGGACGTAGAAGGATTACCCCACCTTCGAACCTCGTTAAAGTTTGCGTGTCTCTCTCTTTTATCTTTATTCTTACTTGCAATTATATTAACTGAGAAAACTAACCCATCCATATTGATTACTTCTCACTCTACCCACCAACTTCCGCACATAATCTAAAGTTCACAAGAACTCTAGATTAACACTCATTTTCACGTTCTCAAAAGAAACGAAAAAGTTTTTAAAATTTGTAACAAAGTCTATTCACCCCCCCCCCCCTCTAGACTTTGTAACTCACCACTTCAGGACCACCAGTTTCTCTGTTGCGAATGGTCCTCGGATTCATCAACTAAAGAAAGAACTTGCAAACTGCAAGCAAAACGGTCAGTCCATTGTCACGTACTTTGGAAAATTAAAAACAATTTGGGACGAACTTGGTGATCATGAAAAGATTCCCACATGCAAATGCCGAGGATGCAAGTGTGGGATAAGCAAAGCTCTTGCCATTCAAAGGGACAAAGAAAAGGTGCACCAATTTCTGATGGGATTGGATAACGAAGGATATGGGAGTCTACGATCCAACATCATCGCCACAGAGCCCTTGCCACCACTGAATCGTGTTTACTCGGTCATTATCCAGCAGGAAGGGGTCTTGAAGACTACCCAAAAAGAGGAATGTAACCCGGTTGGCTTTGCTGTCACTTCTAAATTTGATCGTGACGCGACTAAAGATTTAAAATGCAAACATTGTGGGTTGAGCGGACACGAGAAGAGTGGTTGCTTTTAACTCGTTGGATATCCTGAATGGTGGGGAGATCGCCCATGCATCTTGAACCTGGGACGAGGTAATGGCCGAGGCAACGGCACAGAAGGACGGCGCAGCGGCAGGGGGGCAACGCCGGCCGAGATAACCGAGGCGGGGCTGGTGGCGGTCCAGTTGGAGGTCCGACAGGGGGACCGACGGCCCACATGGCTCAGGCCAACCTGATGGATAGAGGGCGTGCAAACCTCCCTTCTCTCACAACCAATCAATGGAATGCACTTATGGGTCTTTTAAACGAGAAGGATTCGGGTATGGAACAGCGATGAGAATTTTCAGGTATGACTAATACTTCTTGGATCATTGATAGTGGAGCCAGCCAACATATGACCAGCGATGAGAAGTGTTTTAAAAAATTGGAAGTAATGAAACCTTGTTCTGTTGGTCTACCAAATGGAGATTGTGTGGTATCCAACAAAAAGGGGAGTGTGATCTTGAATAATTTGATAACCTTAGACAATGTTTTGCTAGTTCCTCAACTTAACTGTAATCCTATATCTGTCTCACAACTTCTTGAGAAAAAGAATTTAATTGTCAAGTTTAATAATAAAATTTGTATCATACAGGACTATATCTCGAAGATGGTAATTGGAGTGGGTGAGCAGGCTGACGGACTGTATTATCTCAAGAAAGGTGTGAAGGACAAAGTCTACACAATGAAGGAGGCAAAGGATCTGGAAATTTGGGACAAGCGTTTGGGTCATCCCTCCTACACCATTGTCAACATTTTTCTTCAATTATCCAAAAATACCAATATTCCTAATTCCCCTTGTGATGTGTGTTTTCGTTCAAAACAATGTCGTGACTCTTTTCCAATTAGTGCAAATAAAACTCTTACTCCTTTTTCCTTGATTCATTGTGACTTATGGGGTGGGTATCGTACTCCGTCTCGCACTGGGGTGATATATTTTTTTACTATTGTTGACAATTTCTCTCGGGAAACATGGGTATATCTCTTGAATCAAAAATATGAAGCTCCCACTGTCCTGCGTAACTTCTTTCCCATGATTGAACGCCAATTTAATAAACAAGTAAAAACTGTACGAAGTGACAATGGTATAGAGTTCACTTGTTTAAAATCCTTTTTTAGCAATCATGGGATTCTTTTTTAATCCTCTTGTGTTGGTACCCCACAACAAAATGGTGGAGTTGAACGAAAACACTATCACATTCTCAATATTTCCAGAGCCCTCCGTTTCCAAGCAAATATTCCACATAAATTCTGGGGTGATTGCATTCTCACCGCTGCCTATCTCATTAACCGAACACCCTCTAAGCTACATAAAAGCAAAACCCCATATTCCATGAGCTTTCATAAAAACCCCTCATACAATCATATTCGTGTTTTCGGATGCCTCACCTATGCCCACAATCAATCCCACCATGGAGACAAATTTGAGTCTCGTTCTCGTCGCTGCGTTTTCCTTGGCTACCCATTCAGCCAAAAGGGGTGGCGACTTCTCGATTTGGACAACAATAAAATATTTTTCAGTCGAGATGTCAAATTCTTTGAAAATCATTTTCCCTTTCACCCACAAAATACCCCCAATCTCACAGAAACTGAACCCACTTCTGAGCTTTTTGAGGAGGAAATACCCAATGAAGAAACTGCCTCAGAAATGGTCGACCCTCTAGACAACAACGGTCGACCGTCACCCTCTGAATCTGACACTGCCACTCAGACGGTCGAACCGATGAACCGTTCTCAAGACTACGATCGACCATTGCTCACACCGAACCCAGATATCTCTACATCAGCACCACCAAATAGCCAACCCATTGAAACAGTTGAGCCTTCCCCTGATCTTGATAACCAAACCCTTCTAACCCAAGACACTTTGCGCCGAAGTGAAAGAGAACGTCGTCCTTCTTCGCGACTGCGTGACTTCGTCACTCACACCATTCAACGCCCCTTTCCTGATTCACCCACACCGACGCCGCCTTCAGGTACATCACACTGTTGGTGGTGCTTGGCAATCGGTTGGTGGTGCTTGGCAATCGTCAGAAAGAAGGAATTGACTTTAAAGAGACTTTTGCACCGGCGGCCAAATTAGTTACCGTTCGCACTCTCTTAGCTGTTGCCGCTGCCCGGAACTGGTTCCTACATCAGATGGACGTGCATAATGCTTTTTTGCTTGGAGATCTTCGCGATGAAATATACATGACTCTTCCTCTAGGGTTTGCCTCTCGTGGTAAAGGATTGGTTTGCCGTCTTCCTAAATCTCTCTATGGTCTTCGTCAGGCTCTACATTGTTGGTTTGCTAAACTCACCTCTACTTTGAAACATTTTGGGTTTCACCAATCCAAGGCTAATTATTCTTTGTTTACTCTTCTGCGTGGCTCAATTGAGCTTCGTGTGCTGGTGTATGTGGATGATCTCGTTATTGCAAGAAATGATGAAGGTTTCATTGCAAAATTTTAACAGTATCTCTCTGATTGCTTCCATATGAAAGATCTCGGCCTTTTAAAATATTTTTTGGGCGTTGAGGTTGCCTAGAATTAAAAAGGAATCTTCATATGCCTGCGAAAATATGCTCTTGGTATTCTCTGTGAGACTGGGTTTATAGGTGCTCGTCCGGCTTCAACCCCTCTTCCTCAAAATCATCGTCTGGCTCTGGAAAATGGACCGTTTCTCCCTAATCCAGAGCGTTATCGCCGGCTTGTAGGGCGCCTTATTTATCTCACGATTAGCTGTCTTGATTTGGCATATGCTGTTCATGTGTTATCTCAATTTATGGGGAACCTGCGACGGGAGCATTGGGATGGCGTGACACATGTTCTATGCTATATCAAGGGTAGTCCCGGGAAAGGCTTATTCCTTCCCGCACAAAGTGATCTCACTCTTACGGCTTTCTGTGATTCTGATTGGGCTGGCTGTTCTTTGACTCGCTGTTCTGTTACTGGTTATTTTATTACTCTCGGCCATTCCCTAGTGTCCTGGCATACAAAGAAACAAAATGTGGTCTCCCGCTCATCTGCTGAGGCTGAATACTGGGCTATGGAAACCACTGTTTGTGAACTAAAATGGCTGAAATCCCTTCTATTGTCCTTAGGCGTGAATCACAAATAGCCCATGCAGTTGTTTTGCGACAATCAGGCTGCTCTTCATATCGCTGCTAACCCCATTTTTCATGAACGTACCAAACACATTGAGATTGACTGTCACTTTGTGCGTGATGAGATTCAGAAAGGTGTTCTGTGTACGCGGCATGTCTCCACCACCGATCAACCGGCTGACCTATTTACAAAGGCTTTGGCTTCCGCTCCATTCTCACATTTGCTGTCGAAGCTGGGCACGCAAAATCCGCACGCTCCAGCTTGACGGGGGGTATTGGCCGGAGAGGTCCGGATCCGGAGAAGTCCAACTTCCGAGAAATCCGATTCCCAAGAGGTTCGAATTACGAGAAATCCGAATCTCGAGAAGTCCGAATCCTGAGATGACCGGATCCCATTCTAATTGGGATTGCTCTTGATTTATTTGTTTTCTAGTTTGATTATTGATTCGTTTCCTTGTAGTATTTGTATTCCTTTTCTATTTTGGAATTATCCTCTCCTATAAATAAAGGAGAAATCTCTTGTAATTAGGCAGAACAATACAATATACAGAATATTTTCTCCCTTATCAATTTCTTCAATTAAGGTATTAAGTATGTTTAATTCCTAAATCTGACCCAATTTCACAATATTGTCCTTCCATGTCAAACCAAGTTGGGAAGGGCAGTTTCCTAGATTCTCTCTACGCCTTCTTAGGCGATTTTTGTTCTTGGCTTCTGACAACCCGACCGATCACTTTCCCGATGTTTGGGTTGGGTATGGATTATACCCATTAATAGTAATAATAGTAATAATAATAATGGTAGCGATGATGATGACCATCATCATCGTCATGATAATCATAATAATAATGATGGAGAACTCACTAAAAAGATATCAAACTACTAAAATAGGAGTCCTAAACATTTTATGGCCAAAATAAAAAAATATGTTGTCACTATCACACTCACCACACCATTATCCACCGCCGCAAGTCATCGGCATTGATCAGTGATCTACTAATGGTATGTTTACACTCTTCCATCACATTTTTATTACACTCCTATTTAGGGATTAAACTAGGTGAATTTGACTTTCATATTTTAGCTAAGTTTTTACTCCTTACTAGAGAGATGTCTTTACTAATAACAATTGTAACAAAAATAATATGAAGCACATAATTCATATTTTAAGCCATACTCAGAGCTAAAATAGTTAGAAGAAACATGATGAAATTTAAAAAATAGGACGTAGAAGATTTAAAGGTGTTGAAAATTTTCTAGAATTTATTTTAATTTCTAACAGAAAAAAAACAGACATTGAATATATATAAAAAAAGTCTTCCTCTAACCCAAAAAGAATTACCAACATGCATAATGATGTATACCTACAAATTGTTCATTGTTTAATTTCATTACTAACTTGATAAAATAATACGCGTATGTATTTATCATAGGGTCTACAAAATAAGATGTGGTAACAATATATTCCGCATTATTTTATCCAAATAGTAGTAAAATTTTAAAAAGAAAGAGCTTGATGTTTGAGACCAAAATAATAAACAGGCAAATCCTTGTGGTACAAAGGGAGTAAGTACGTATGATCGAATGTCACATAGTTTGTTAGAAATTCGGGATGGACAAAAATATTGCGAAGTAGCATTAAAGAATAAATATACGAACAACATGAAAAAAACTTGACAAATTTAATGAATCGCGTACAAACGCTTCCTAATTAAAGTTATTTCGGGGTAGATCAAAATATTTAAATCGAATAAGACAATAGTAATCTACAACGAGTATGGAAATTATGTTCATCTCGAAACATACCCTGAAGCCATATTTATAGACAAATTCCGAACGCACATGTTGGTTGAAGAATCAACACAACTTTTGGGTAATGTTCGAATGTTCCTACTAAAACATTCAAAATGTTATGGCAGTTCGACCAAACGATTATTTCTCCTTTTTTACGAACCGTCGCAAGTTATTGCAAAATATTTAAATATTTGGGACAAACATTCGAATTTATCAGGCAATTTTACAAAGGACACTAGGGATAAATATTACATTCAAAGAATTATTTTATACATTCAAATGTACATTACTTTTGGTTAAATTGTTAAACTCTACACAACTTGCAACACTCCTCCTCGAGGACTAGTATACAATTTAAATATTTAATTGAGTAAATTTTATGAAAGGTCATTTCAAATTTATCGGAAGGATGATCCAATTGACCAAGTCAATAAATGAGAAACGTACTTCAGTCTCGGGAGAAGGCGCGGATCCAAGTTGACTTGCTTACCTCTTTTCGTCTTTCAATAATTCGTGTTTCCCAAAGAGATCTGGCCGGCGAAGAGTGATAATGGAAAAACCCGTGGAAAGCTTCCCGATCCTACTCCTCATCCTCCTGATCCCCGCCTGGCTTTTCCTGGTCCCTATCTCCGGACAAAGTGACACCATAACATCCTCCCAATTCATCAAAGATGGGCAGACCATTGTCTCCTCGGCCGGAACATTCGAGCTAGGATTCTTCAGTCCACCAAATTCTTTGAATCGATATGTGGGGATATGGTACAAAGCCACTGACCGGACTCCCGTATGGGTTGCAAATAGACAAGCCCCGCTGAGAAACAAGAATGGAATCCTAAGGACCATCCTTCCTGCAGGAGTTCTGGCCATCCTCGACACTTCTTCCAATCGAACCCTTTGGTCCACCGACGCCTCCCCTCGGCCCGTCATAAATCCAGTTGCACAATTGCTGGAAACAGGGAATCTTGTTGTGAGGGAGAGAGACGATGAGAACCCGGAAAATTTCATCTGGCAGAGCTTTAATTACCCGACTAACATGTTGCTTGCTGGCATGAAGTTGGGGAAGAACATGGCATCAGGCCTTGAAGCCTATCTGTCGTCGTGGAGGAGCGTCGAAGACCCCTCCCCTGGGGATTACACGTTCCACTGTGATAGCTCGGGGTATCCGCAGGATATCCTGAGAAAAGGGTCCAAGGTTGTTTACCGAACTGGGCCGTGGAATGGCCTTCGTTGGAGTGGGGCACCTAACATGGTCAACAATAGTTTGATCTCATTCAGACTTGTTAAGAACAAGGATGCGACTTACTACTACACATATGAGCTGGTCAACAAATCGGTGATTTCCACCCTGGTGGTGAATCCAGACGGAGACACCGGGAGGCGGACATGGGTGGAGAAAACCCGGTCTTGGCAAATCTACCACTCATTCAAAGCAGATGATTGCGATACGTACGGATTGTGTGGCGCGTATGGTACTTGCAACGTTCTTGAATCCCCCGTGTGCCATTGTTTGGACAAATTCGTGCCCAGGCATCAAGAGGATTGGGACAGGGCGGATTGGTCTGCGGGTTGTGTTCGGGAGGCCGCTCTGAATTGCACCGGGGATGGGTTTCTCAAGTACACCAGTGTGAAATTGCCCGACACGAATATTTCGCAGTACAATGAAACGATGTCGCTGGGTGAATGTGAAAGTGTTTGCGCGAAGAACTGTTTGTGTATGGCGTATTCGAGCTTGAACATTCTAAATGGAGGTAGTGGGTGCTTGCTTTGGATGGGGGACTTGGTTGACACCCGACAGCTGTCCCAAGGTGGACAAGAGATCTACATAAGAATGGCACACTCTGCCTTATTAATAGGTAAGAAAGAACAAACACCATATTGTCTCACTTAGTACTATGTAGTATTAATGTATTAATAATGGGAGGGAAAACAGTGAATTTTTTTTTGGATGGCATATTCTGTAGAGGGATCTACACAAAGAAAAACAAGAAGGAGAAGAAGAAGAAAAATAATTACTGTGGGGTTGCCATTGATTATAGTTGCAGCTCTTGTAGCCATAGTATTTGGCACAATCTTTTGTTTGAAGAAGAGAAGAATGTCTCCAGAGACTACAAAGAATGGTATGGCAGAATCTGTGTGTTTTGTTCACAAAGTATCAGATCTTTATGTACCCAATATGTACTAATACGGAGTATTCGTAGTATGAACATTCTACCGTATTATGCTGCAGTTTTTGCTGCCCACAATTACAAGGAATCCAGTGGAGGGACACACAGTGAAGATTTGGATCTGCCTCAGTTTGATCTCTATACATTAACTCTTGCCACAGACCAATTTTCAGTACATAACAAGATTGGAGAAGGGGGCTTTGGACCTGTTTATAAGGTATGAGCTCAATATAATATACTCCCTCCCTCCCTCCTGAGGTATGACCTGTTTATTCTTATTAAAAACAAAATAGACCAGATCAGAACATAACTAATCATATCAGATCAAACCAAATCATATCCAATCAAACCAGATCAGATCCAGTCCAATCAAGTCAGATCTAAACAATATTACTATTATTATTACTATTAGTATTATTATTATTCATATTACTATTACTATTATTATGATTATAATTATTATTACTATTGTTATTATTATTATTATTACTATTAATATTAAAATTATTATTATTATTATTGTTATTTTATTATTATTATTATTATTATTACTATTACTACTACTATTAATAATATTAATATTGTTATTATGATTATAATTAATATTACTATTGTTATTATTACTATTTTTATTACTATTATTATTATTATTATTATTATTATTATTTCTATTATCATTATTATTATTTCTATTATTATTTTATAACTATTATTATTATTATGGTTAATATTATTACAACTATCAGTACCATTATCATTTTAACTATTATTTTTAATATTACTATTATTATTACTACTACTATCACTATTATTATGATTATTATTATAATTATTATTACTATTTTGATTATAATTATTAATATTATTATTATTACTATTATTATTATTATGATTATTATTATTACTATTATTATTATTATTATTATTTCTATTATTATTACTAGTATTATTATTATAGTTATTATTATTACGATTCTTATATCTATTTTTCTTATAATTATTACTATTATTATTATTAATTCTATTATTATTACTATTATTATTAATATTTCTTTTATTACTATTATTACTATTATTATAACTATTATAATAATAATTTTAATTTTAATTTAAACTAAATTTATATGAGATCAGATGCAATCAGATTAGACCATATCACATAAGATCTAATCAGATCAAATTAGATCAGACCAGATCAGAACTTCAAAAAATCAGATCAGGTCAGATCAGGCAAACGGAACGTAGCCTAAAAAGTTCTTCCCTATTACGTAGTACTCTTCACACGTTCAAACATTAATTACTTTCTTTACCTATTTTTGTTAGTTATTTGATACTCCGTAAAATAATGTAGTCATATCAACTCTTGTTTTGTACTCCCTGCGTACTGAATTAGATTATAATCGTTTTTTCTCTTTTCTCTCAATAAATTTTGTTTATTTATGTGTTTTCATTGAATATTTGATAAAATAAAATATTCTGGCCACCTCTCGTTTTGTAGAACTTTTGACGTAATTTTTTAATACGTAGTTCTTATTTTTATTGATGGACCAATTTTTTTTAAAAATGATCTCACAAGACAAGAGGTTTTGCCTCGTAACTCCCAGTTTGTAATCAAATTAGGGACAAAAGGAGTAGAACTTCTGATGTAATTTTTAAAAATATAAATTTTATTTTTTAATTTTACACCTACAACCAAATAAATTAAATAAAAAATAAAGTTGGTCAAATCTCATAAATGAAAAAGGAAAAAATATTTTAGGACGGATGGAGTATTTTTTTCTTTGATGGTTAATAGGGAATATTTATTCTAAGGCTCCGTTTGGTACATGGAATTCAAACTATGAAATTAGAATTGGGGACTTCAATTCCAATTCTATTGTTTGGTAGCACAAAAATTATGTAGATTTGGAATTGATAGTGCAAAAAATGAATTGAAATTGACAGAATTCAACTCTATGGAATTGAATCTCATGGAATTACAATTTCAATTCAATTCCAATTCCACCAATTACATATACCAAACGGACCCTAACAGAAATCATCGAGAACAAAATATAGTCTTATCTTTAAAATAAAAATGAGAGAGATTATCCCATTTTAGCTGGGTATTTCAAGCTGGGTCATCAAATTTATTGTTCAAAATCCAATATTTATAAGTCAGGTTTCGGGTCAAAGAATAGTCAGGTCAATTCTTACATTCATTTATTTGTTTTTATTTTATTACTCTAGCCTCATTGAAAATTCAACACTTTGTACTTTATGTATTACGACCACATATTCCAAAATTAACGTGTTGAAGTTCCAATTACTACTCCGTAAATATCAAAATCTTACACGATTAAAATTGAAATATGCTCGTGTTCTAAAATTAAGAATAATGCCTATTTTCCGAAATCCGAATAACGCTTGTTCGTGTGTGGTGGAGTGAAGTTGTTGGATTATCTCTCCGAAGTATTTTTTTAATGGTGTAAAATACACTCTTTATTATTCAAAATTTACGAAAACTTTTGTTTATTTATACATTTTGATCGATTGTTTGATAAAGCTAAGATATATTTTTTCAACTCTTGTTTTCTTTAATTCTCCACATAATTTTAGGTGTGTAAGTTTTATTTTTAATTTTTATACTAATTTTTTAAGTAAAATAGTTTTAAAAAGATTGAAAATTTGTTTTGTTTTGTATAAAGTGTAAAATATTTTAGGAAATACTAGCATAATTTTATAAGAAAACAAGAAGTGTTTAAATCTGGATGAAAAAACTCTCAATGTTTTAAAATAACTTGTGTGTTTTTATAACAATGGGTTTGTTATATTACGTAACTTATTAGTTGAGATTTGTTTAAAAAATTCAATTATCAATCCAAGAAATTTAACTTTCAATTGTTTATCCATAGTGGTTAATTAAAGGACACCCAATTTGTTTTCTCATAAGTATCACTTTTTTTCTCTTAAGTATCACTCTTAACTTATTATGCCTCAAGTGATTTTTTTTCTACATCCGCCAATAAACACATATTGACTTTTTATATGTTTTAGGGGGTCCTCAAAGGAGGGCAAGAAATAGCGGTGAAACGACTCTCTGAGGCATCAAAGCAAGGGCTTAGGGAGTTCAGGAACGAAGTAATCTGCATAACAAAATTGCAGCATAGAAATCTAGTGAAACTTTTAGGATGTTGCATTCAAGGAGTGGAAACAATGTTGGTGTATGAATATATGCCTAACAAGAGCCTTGATATGTTTATTTTTGGTAAGCATTATCCATCAAAATGATGTTCTTCTTCAAGATAGGTTTACTTTCATTTTCACATATTGGTGTTGCAATTGAAACATTATGCCAGATGAAAAGCAGAGTGGATTGCTTGATTGGCCCAAACGCTTTAACATCATCAATGGGATTGCACGGGGACTTGTGTATCTTCATCAAGACTCGAGATTGAGAATCATCCATAGAGACTTAAAAACTAGCAACATTTTACTTGATATTGATATGAACCCAAAGATCTCAGATTTTGGGATGGCAAGGAGTTTTGGAGGGAGCGAAACAGGAGCTAACACTATGCGCGTGGTGGGAACATAGTAAGACTCTCACATGTAATGTCATGTATATGCATATTGTGCTATATATCAACAATATCTAATTTGTCTCATCAACATGCACTTTGGTTCGCTACAGTGGATATATGTCTCCAGAATATGCAATTGACGGGATATTCTCAGTAAAATCAGATGTCTTTAGTTTTGGTGTCTTAGTATTAGAGATCATAAGCGGCAAGAGGAACAGACACTTTGTTCATCCAGACCACCACCTAAACCTCCTTGGACATGTAAGTATTATCATCATCTTCACCTAAATCTTTTCAACCCCAATCTAATGAGCAATTATATCAAATGTTGTAGGCATGGACACTTTATAAGGATAATAGATCATTGGAACTAATTGATCCGGGACTCATTGGCTCATGTGATCCCAGTGAAGTGACTCGATCGATCCACATAGCTCTGTTGTGTGTGCAACAATCTCCAGATGATAGACCAAACATGCCCTCTATTGTTTGGAAATTGAGCAATGAAGGAGTTCTACCGGAAGCCAAATTGCCTGGATTTTTTACAGAGAGGCGCGTGGCTAGTACTGATGAACACTATTCGTGGAGAACTCAGAACCTAAGTTCTATAAATGACGTTACCATCACATTGTTGGATGCTAGATAGAACTAAAAAAAGAGCATGGTCGGGGTTTTGAAAAGAGGCTACTTAATATTTAATACTTCATCAGTCGAGAAGAAGAACAAGGGTAGTGTGTGAAAATTCATTTTGGTCATAATTTTGTGACACGGGTGATTATGGAAGCTTTATCAAGTACAATAGATGAAATAGAAATTATGATGAATAAAAATAACACAAAACGTGTAATACATATATAATGTAAAGTGTGATAAGCTAAATTAAAATGGATATCAGGAATAACATTTACAAATGTTGAAAAGTTTTAATTAGTCACATACTCTCTCTACTTAAAAATTATTTTCTTGTGTTTTGTTCATATGATCAAACTTTATTCAATTTGTTGACATATTTTCATTGTCAATTGAATTTAAAAATTGTCATATAAACTCTAGTTTTATGTTGGCGTATGGGATCAGAACCCAAAAAGGAAAATATTGATTTGCTTACCTTATTCGTTGTAATTCCTATTGTGGTAGGAATAGAGTTATGGTAGGCATAGAATTATGGTAGTTTACTTATTTGTTTGCTTTCTCCTCATATATAAAGGAAATTAAACCTTTTAATTCCCAAAGAAAATTCAATATGCAAAATATTTTCTCTCTTATTATTTTCTTCATAGTATCGGAGAAAACGAACCTAGGGAATTTATTACCCTAGGACCGCCGATCGCTGGTCACCTATTGACCACTGTTCGGCCGTCATCACAATGACGAAAGCCGAGGAGCCCATCACCGGGAAACTTTTCGATGATGAAGAGAAAGCCACAACAAAGGGAAGTGCTTATGAACTCAATAACATTGATACACACGGGTTAATTATCACCCAAATCATATTAAATGGTGATAATTATGAAGAGTGGACTAGATCGATGTGGGTTGCGCTCCGTGCAAAACGGAAAATTGGATTCATTGATGGATCCATCCCTTGTCCAGAACAGGGAAATGAAAACTAAGAAGAATGGTGGATAGTAAATGCCATGTTTGTCTCATGGATTTACAATACAATTGGTTGAAGCTTGAGAAAATCCAACACCCAGGTTGAAGAGGCTGCAGAACTCTAGACAGATATAAAAGACCGCTTCTCTTTCATAAGCGGTCCTCGTATCCATCATCTTAAGAAAGGGCTTGCAAATTGTAAGCAAAACGGGCAGTCCATTGTTACATACTTTTGAAAACTAAAAGCGATCTGGGATGAACTCGGTGATCATGAAAAGATTTCTATGTGCAAGTGCCATGGATGCAAGTGTTGCATAAGCAAAGCTCTCACCATACAACGAGATAAAAGAAAAGTTAATCAATTCCTCATGGGATTGGACAACGAAGGATATGGAAGTCTGAGATCCAACATCATAGGCACTAAGCCTCTGGAACCGTTGAATTGTGTCTACTCAATCATCATCTAGCAAGAGGGAGTCCTAAAGATCACACAAGAAGAAGAATGAAATCCGGCAAGTTTCATCGTCACCTCTAAATATGATCGTGAAGCAAATAAGGAATTGAAATGCAAACACTGTGGGCTAAGCGGACACGCAAAGAAGAGTGGTAACTTATTGGATATCCAGAATGGTGGGGATCTCGGTCACGTGTCTTAAACCCAGGGCGTGAAAATAATCTGTTGGACAATGTGCTATCATGAATATATATTTGCAATTGCTTTGCCCATTGTCTTTTAAGTTTTGATAATGACAAAAAGGGGACAAAAGATCATCATCCTAGTGTGCATTAAAGCTAAGAATCAAAGCTATTCTTATTTAATTTAAGTGATACAGTAAAAGTAATTTTCCTTCTTCTATTCACGGATTTGTTTTGGATATCATTCAACCCGTGGTTGGGAATTCAGCATTGGATTTCTCTACGACTCTTTTAGATTTGGTCATAATGATCAGATAATATCCTGTCTTGTTTGCATCATTCCGGTCAGTCTTGATATCGGTTTTAAGTATTTTCTTTTCCTCTATTTAAACTGCGTCTCTCCGTCACTTCTAATTATTTATAATTCAATAGGTGAAGTTATATGAAGCTTAGATTCTTCATTTTTTCTATTTTAATCCTGCTTGGTTATTTTAAAATTTAGAAAATCTAGATGAATTTTTTATTTGAGCAACTGGCCGAATCATGGTATAGTAGACTAGATGAGCGACCAAACTTGTTTGATTTTATTGATTTTGGAATCCAATATTGGCCGATGCACACTAAAAATCTTTTTTATTCGAGAAGGGACTTGAGCATCGGTGAAAGGATCGAGACCAAAGAAGTTGTCTCCTTGCTTGGGTAGGTTTTTAGGTCTTAGAATGTGTGTTAAAGAGTGTGGCATCTCTAAGGCTCATTCATTTATAATCCTACCTTCAAAACACCTTTTTAGACCACCTTTTGTGTGGAAAAGTTACTCTTCTATTCAAATAGCCTTTGGTTAACTTGAATAAGTCTGGAACTTCTGTGTTGGGTGCAATATGCTGACTTATTCGAATAAGTCCATACTTATTTGACTAAGTGGCTATTTTTTCTCATTTTATGTTTGTTCTGAACTATTCGAATAGTTCTTGATTTATTCGAATAGGCTGACGGTTTCAACTTCCAAACGGCTAGTATTTTAATGTTTTCCATCCCTATCCACTCTCTAACTTCTATAAACTCCCTTGTCTCGTTATTATCATTGGAAGATAACCAATAACACTTTGAAGAACATATCCTTTGAATATCCAAAGAGATTCTACTCAATCCCCTTCTAGTATCTAAGCAAGGCAATTGTTTTGATTAATAAATCCTTTCTTCCTTGAGTTTATCCTCATTGCTTGAATCTTTGAGAGATTTTGCCATATTCTATAGGACTTCATTGTATTTGCAGCAATCTACTCCGTGTTGGTTCCGCTGAGGTTTGTTTTCTTACTTTTGGTAAGAGATTTGTATCCTTGGTGTTGGGATTACACCAAGTGGTAGAAATCCTAACGGTTTGTGAAATCAAATGTTAGGTGGATGAAATCTCGAGTCTTGTAAAATCAAGGCTTCGGTGGTTGTATAAGAGGCTTGTGAAATCAAGTTCTCGAGTTGTATTTAGATTGTCAAACTCCGTTAAGTTTGACGGGTTAGGTTAGTGAAGCCTTGGGCATGTTTTCTTCAGGGACTGGATGTAGCCATTTAGGCAAAACCAGTATATACCATGTGTTCATGCCATTTATACTTCACTTAATTTTATTTGTGGTGTGTTGGTTTTGATTGAAATTTTTTTGAAGAACGCTTCTGCGCGAGAAACCAGTCATTTGGGCCACACTTCTATTCACCCCCCTAGGGGGGTTTTGCAAGGCGTCTAACAAGTGGTATCGGAGCAATGATATTTTCAAGGCTTTACCGCTGAAAATCTAAAAGATCATGGTCAGAAGTACATTCCAACCCGGAGTTTCCGAAGGACAATCCACAACAAGGCCACCACTCTTCGACGGCACCAATTATGCTTATTGGAAAGAGAGGATGAGAATCTTCATCCAATCAAATGATTTTGATTCTTGGTTGGTGATCAAGCATGGAGAGACAATACCCACGAAGATTGTTGATGGAGTACTTGTTTAAAAGCTAGAGACTAAAAATACTTCTAATGACAAGAACAAGGTGCAACTAAATGCAAGAGCCATCAATTTTCTATATTGTACCGTGAACCCGAATGGTTATCGGAAAATATCAAGGTGCAAGACAGCCAATGAGATCTGGAACAAATTAGAGGTCACATATGAAGGAACAAGTCAAGTGAAGGACTCGAAGATCGACTTGCTCCTCCACGAGTATGAGCTTTTCATGATTATGGAAAATGAGACAATAGATGACATGTTTGAGAGATTCTCAACCATTGTCACCAATTTGGATACACTCGGGAAGCATTATGACAATCATGTTCGTATTCGAAAAAACCTTTGAAGTCTCACACCGGAGTGGAAGTCCACAATCAACCCTATCAAAGAAGGCCGAGATTACAACACGTTGACATATGACGCACTTCAAGGTAAACTTCTCACTTATGAAATGTCTAACTTTTCTAGTACAGCAGAGATCAAAAGGGACCGAGATCTATAATTCAAAGGAGTTGCACTCAAAGCTTCATTGTCAAAATATGTCAAGACAAGCGACTATGAAGAAAGTGAAATTATTGAGTTATTTAATGACTTCTTGCATAATGAGCTTGAGCGAGAAAATTTTAAAGAGAGTATAAAGCCTACATGTTATGGATGTGGAGAGCATTGACATATCAAGGGTCATTGTCCTAATCTGAAAATCAAGAAGTCCAAACGCCGAAAGCATTCCAACTCTAGCTCCTCTTCCTCATCCGATGATGACGTAGCCATTTGTCTTATGGCTCAAAGTGAATCCGAAGAGGTAGGTGCCTCTAACAATCCTTTTAGTTTTAAAGAACTACACGAAGAATTTGGTGATTTGTTTAAAGAGTTTAAGAAAGTTTCCTCTATTGCCAAAGATTTGAACATAAAATCACCCTTTTGCAAAAGGAAAATGCTACTTTGCAAAAAAAACTTGACTCCCTCAAAATTGAAAATAAGGATTTTGAGGAGACTAAATTGAAATCAAATGAGGTAGAAGGTTTGAAATTGGCTAGAGAGAAAGAAGTAGAAGGTTGAAATTGGCTAGGGAGAAAGTTGAAAATGAATCTAGACCAAAATCTACTTCTAGGATTAACTACTATAGATCACCTAGAAATAACCTAAGTCATTCTAGGAATTCTAAGTAGACAACCTAGAAAGCACATTACACGCCCTAGGCACATGAACAACCCTAGTAAAAGCTGTCATTATTGTTATAAAGTAGGATACATCACACCAGTTTGTTACACAAAGTATAGGCACTTGCTTCTAAGTCAAGATAATGTGATGCTGCGATCATATAATTATCATTATTATTTCCATAACACCCCTGGACCCAAAAAGCATTGGGTACCAAGATTACTTCTTATATTCCTTGAGGAAAATGTTCTAAAAGACTTCGACTTGAGTTGAAGTAGATGCACCAAACACATAATTGGGTGAAACATCCATTAAGGGGGGAAGTTGAAGTCTTTTCTTATCTTGATTTGAGTTTATTTTAGTGCTAACATATGTTTTAAAAAATGGTATCAATAGTTGGACAATTTGATATTATTTTCTTGTTTGATATCTATTTGCATGAGCATATATCTTTTTTCCCATCTCTTTTTGATAATGTCAAAAGGGGAATGATTGTGTAGATATGCATATGTTTAGGGGGGATTTTATTTGTGCATATCTTAAGGGGGAAGATAATATAGTTTTGTATGTATTTATTTGATTTATGATGAAATACTTGAGCGGGAACTAACGTTGTATGATGCATATCTCCTAATGTGCTTGTCATTATCAAAAAGGGAAAACTTCTTAGACAATGTGCTATTATGAATATATATATTTGCAATGTCCTTTGCCCATTGTCTTTTTGTTTCTAATAATGACAAAAAGGTGACAAAAGATCATCATCATATTGTGCATCAAGGCTAAGAATCAAAGCTACAACAAGTTCATATCCGTCCGTGGAGAAGGGGCTTGATCATCGGTGAAAGGATCGAGATTGGGTAGTCTTTTAGGTCTTAGAATGTGTGTTAAAGAGTGTGGCATCTCGAAGGTTCATTCATTGATAATCCTACCTTCAAAACACCTTTTAGACCAGCCTTTGTGTGGAGAAGTTGCTCTTCAATTCGAATAGCCTTTGGCTTACTCGAATAAGTGTGGAACTTCTTAGTTGGGTAGAATATGTTGACTTATTCAAATAGGTCCATAATTATTCGACTAAGTGGCTATTTTTTCTCATTTCACGTTTGTTCTAGACCTGGCAAAAAATGACCCGACCTGTTTTTGACCCGAAACCCGACCCGAAAACATTGGGTTTTGAACAAATATTTTTATGACCGAACCCGGAGTTGACCGAACCCGAAATGACCTGCTAAAAATGGGTCAAACCCGACCGAACCCAAACCCGACCTGACCGACCTATTAAAGTAAGAATTTTTCAAAATCATACACTTTACTACTGATTTTTAGTGTATAAATTTATATTTATAGAAATTGTTTTAATGATATTGCATAATTATCTTACTCTTTTCTAAAACTTTAGCATTTTTTAAATTCCTTATATTGATTTATATATCTAAAAATTACTTCATAATTTAAAATAAAATAATCTAATAAATTTAATACATTTTTTTATATTTTAAACTTATTAAATAGAAAATGTAAATGTTAATGTGAATTTAAAAACTTAAAAACCAAAGTCATAACCTGTTGGGTCAACCCAAACCCGATGACACTGGGTGATGAACATAGAGTTCACAAGCCGAACCCAAATTGACCCGAACCCGAAATAACCCGAACTCGAAGTGACCGAACCCGAACCCGAACCCGACCTGACCGACCGATTTGCAAGCTCTAGTGTTCTGAACTACTCAAATAGTTCTTGATTTATTCAAATAGTCTAACGATTTCAACTTCGAAACGGCTAGTTTTTTGAATGTTTTTCATCCCTATCCACTCTCTAACTTCTATAAACTCCCTAGTCTCTTAATATCATTAGAAGAACACCAATAACACTTCGAAGAACACATCCTTTGAATATCGAAAATGATTATACTCAATCCCCTTCTAGTATCCATGCAAGGCAATTGTTTTGATTAATACATCATTTATTGCTTGAGTTTATCCTCATTGCTTGAGTCTTTGAGAGATCTTGCCATATTCTATAGGTCTTCATTGTATTTGCAGCAATCTACTCCATGGTGAGAGAATTATTCCGGTGAGGTTTGTTTTCTTACTTTTCATAAGAGATTTGTATTCTTGGTGTTCGGATTACACCAAGTGGTAGAAATCCTAATCCTGAGTCTTATGAAATCAAGGCTTCGGTGGTAGGATAAGAGGCTTGTTAAATCAAGTTCTCGAGTTGTATTCAGATTGTCATGCTCTGTTAAGTTTTACGGGTTAGTGAAGGCTCGGACATGTTTGCTTCGGGGACTGGATGTAGGCATTTAGGCCGAACAAGTATATATCGTGTGTTCATTGCTTTTATCCTTCACTTTATTTTATTTGTGGTGTGTTTCTTTTGATCGAAAATTTTTTGAAGAACGCTTCCACGCGAAAACCGGTCATTTGGGCAACACCTCTATTCACCCCCCCTCTAGAGGTGTGTAAGGCGTCTAACATAATTGTGGTGGTGGTTCTAGAGGACGCCGTAGTGGCAGGGGGGTAGTGTTAGTTGTGTTGGAACACACTTTGTACGATAAACTAAAGTCATGTTCATTTCTGACAGGTTTTGATAATTGCCAAACATCCGTGGATATGAAGAGTTTTGTTGAATAACTCAAGGCATGAAGAATGGCTTGGAACAAGACCAAAAATAATCAAGGACAAGATCAAGAATTGAAGACTTAGTCGAGTCGGTCTTTTGTGATCAAAACCGACAATAAATTCAAGTCTCGGTTCTCAAAGAGTCAAAACAATTTTTACAAATCATAAAATATTTTTTGTGCATCAAAACAAATATTTTTGATGATTTTTTTTATTGCTAAAATCCCTGGTCCTTGCTCGGAACCGAAACCACCTAAGTCGGCGTTCGGCATTCGGCTTTCGGCGTTCGGTTTTTGGCGCCCGAACCAACTCCGTGGTTTTCAATATTTTAAACCCTTCTTTTACCTCTGAACATTTTTAAAATGTTCTCAAATAATTATTTTATAAAAACCACTTTTGTATCTTGGTCATTCGGTCTAACACGTGAAAAACAGTCAAAACCGTACGCACGTGATGTACGACCTTGGAGACTTGGTTTTTACCGAACAAGTCTTGTTTTCACTATTTTATGCCATATACAATATTTTTCAAACCAGGTTTTTACTTTTGGGAACACTTCGTTTTTGGACCTCAGTTTTTCAAAACGGGTTTCAGCTGGCTAGACTTTAGCGGGGTGATAATCGATTATCACCTTAGTGACAATCGACTATCAGCCCCTGCAGCTTTGAACTTCCAAACTTCTGAAGCACGCAATAATCGATTATCACTTATGCAATAATCGATTATCAGTCTTTGCAAGCCAAAACCCAGATTCTTCTGAGAGGACCAATAATCGATTATCACTTGTTGACAATCGATTATCTGGGTTACCGTTGTCCTCCAACGGATAGAATTTTAAATTTTTGGACAAGGAATCTTTTGATAATCGATTATCAAGCTTGAATAATCGACTATCAGCCTGTGTCCCTGAAAAATTTGTCTTCATCTTGTTGGAAACTCTAGCAACGGGTTTATCCCATTTTGGGCTATAAAATGGCACCCAAATCCTCTCATTTTAAACACAATTCTTCAACATTTCAATACTCTTTCATTGCATAATCATTCCTAATTTTCTTAGCTATTTGAGAGCCAATTCTTGAAGAAATTGTCGTGTTCTTGAGCGTTTACTAGTTCACTCATATCTACTCTTTGTGAGAGTTTTATTCCTGAGTGTTTANGTGTTTTCATACACTTTAAGGGAGGTTGTTCCCTTGTTGTAAACTCGAAGGAAGTTCCTTGTTCCTTTGTGAGAAGTCTTGGAGTGCGGTATCTCCGAGCAAAGGTGTTGAGGCTCGTGTGACTCGGGTTCTCAAGTTGTATCGGTTTGTTAAGCACCCTTAAGCTTAACGGAGTTAGTGTAGCTCGAGAGAGTCTCTCGGGGGGGCTGGATTAGCCCCACGTTGTGGTGAACTAGGATAAAATTCGGTGTGCTCCTTCCTTACGCTCTTTACTTTAACGCTCTCATTTTTAATTTCATGCGATTTTGTTTTAAACGCTATTCACCCCCCTCTAGCGTTGGGCCTTTATTCTAACAATTGGTATCAGAGCCATACTCTCTGAAAGACTTAACCGTTTGAGAGGAACGATCAATGGCTTCTACTCAAAGTTCATACGCAGGTTTTGGTGAAGGGCAATCCACCACGAGGCCTCCATTGTTTGACGGAACAAACTACACCTATTGGAAGGAGCAGATGAGGATTTACATCCAATCCACCAACTTTCTCCTTTGGAGAATTATCAAAAATGGTGAGGACGTGCCAATGAAGAAGGTCGAGGAAACCAACGTCCCTAAGACCGAGGATGAATATGATGCACAAGACATCAAGAAAGTGGAAAACAATGCCAAGGCCATCAACATCATCTATTGTGCCATTAACCCGGATGACTACCGGAAGATTTCTTGTTGCACCACCGCAAAGGAAATGTGGGACAAACTAGAAATCACCTACGAAGGTACGGATCAAGTCCGAGAAGCTAAAATTGATTTTCTAACCCATGAATATAAATTGTTTCGTATGAAGGAAAACGAGGAAATCGATGAGATGTTTGAACGATTCTCCAAAATCGTCAATGATCTTCATGCTCTCAAGAAGACGTACACGGACAAGGAGTTTGTGAGAAAAATCCTGCAAAGTCTCACACCGGAGTGGCGCTCCAAAGCCGATGTCATTGAAGAGTCCATCGGCATCACCAACGTCACCATTGACGGACTTAGAGGTAACCTCAAAACCTATGAGTCCACCATTTTATTCCCTTCTTTAGGTGAACAAAAGAAGAAGGGGATTGCACTCAAGGCTACCTCAAGCCAAGAACCCGCCATAGAGGAATCAAGCGATGAGGACAACGAGTTCGGGCTCGTCATCAAAAAGTTCCACAAGTTCATACAAAAAGAGTATGAACAAAAGGGAAAAAAGCATAGAGGACCACCCAAGTGCTATGGGTGTGGAGAAGTTGGGCACATCAAGCCAAAATGCCCAAATGCCAAAAACGAGAAGGAGAAGAAACCGTTCAAGAAGCACCGAGCTTACACTTCATGGGGAGGTGATTCCGGCGATGAGTCATCGGAAGGCGAAGAGAATGAAAGCGCCAACCTTTGCCTCATGGCACACGAGGAACCACCGGAAGAGGTATGTACCACTTCTAAAGATTCCTATACTTTTGATGATGTACAAGAAGCCTTTAATGAACTTTATAATGAATATGTCAACGCTTCTAAAATTAACAAGGATTTGAAGAAACAACTTACTTCCATGGAGAAGGAAGTTGATAAACTATCAAAAGATAATGAAAAACTTAAAGAAGAAAATAAGTTTTTCGGAAAAAGAAGCACCGACAAACCAGAAAGTTCAAAATGTAGTTCTTGTATATCACTTAAGGATCAAGTTGCAAAACTTGAAGGAACTTTGAAGAAGTTTGGTGTTTCTCATAAAAACCTTAATGATGTTCTTGACAATTTGCAACTTACTAAACATGGCTTAGGTTTTGAAAATGAAACCAATAATAAGGAAAAAGTTGAGCAACCACATAAACAACCTAAGGCTCAACCTAGGAAAACTAAAATGAACAATAATAGACAACCTACATCAACCAGGAACACTAGACCACCTAGAAAGAACACTAGGATAAACAATGATCAAGTTAGAGAATCTAGTAACCATTTTCCAAATGTGCATAAACAAAATTTTTTCTCAAACTAGGGTCAAGCAATATAGAAAACCTAGTAACTATTATCAACCTAGGAGAATGCATAATCCAAATGTTATTTGTCATTATTGCAATAGGGTAGGACATATAGCCCCGGTTTGTTTCACTAGGCATAGGCATTGCACTCAAAACCAATCACACTACCAACGTGCACCTAGTGCCCAAGGACCCAAAAGGAATTGAGTACCTAAATCTTTTTAAATTGGTTTGTAGGTGTGCTTGAAGGCATCAAGTGTACTTTGGTACCTTGATAGCGGATGCTCCAAGCACATGACCGGAGATGCATCCAAGTTTTTGCAAATCAAACCAACTAAAGGAGGAAACGTTGTCTTTGGCGATAATAGCAAAGGCAAGATAATCGGCATTGGTTCGGTTGGTAAAAATGAAAACTCCTCTATTGATAATGTTTTGTTGGTTAAGGGTCTTAAACACAATCTCTTGAGCATAAGTCAATTGTGTGACAAAGGAAATCGTGTGACCTTCGATTCCATATCATGTACGGTAGAACGTCTTAGTGACAATAAGACGATTCTTCGTGGTGATAGAATTGATAACATTTACATAGTTAACTTAGATGAATCTCCCTCCGACTTTGCAAAATGTCTCACAAGTAAGGAGGACGATATGTGGCTATGGCATCGTAGAATAGCTCATGTCCACATGAATCTTTTGAATAAATTGGTTTCACAAGACCTAGTAGTTGGACTTCCAAAACTCAAGTTTAAGAAGGACACCATTTGTGATTCATGTCAAAAGGGCAAGCAAGTAAGGGCCTCATTTAAATCGAAAATTGTTGTTTCTACAACAAGGCCCCTACAACTTTTGCACATGGATCTCTTTGGACCATCAAGAACAAAAAGTTTTGGGGGAAACTATTTCGCCTTTGTGATTGTTGATGACTACTCTCGATTCACATGGACATTATTTCTAACTCATAAAATTGAGGCATTTCATGTTTTCAAAACTTTTCTCAAAAAGGTTCAAAATGAAAAAGGCTTAGCCATCGTAGCCATACGAAGCGATCATGGTGGAGAGTTCGAACGAGATCTCTTTACCGATTTTTGTGACGAACTAAGCATCAGGCATAACTTCTCCGCTCCACGTACACCACAAAAAAACGGCGTGGTGGAACGTAAAAATCGTTACCTTGAGGAGATGGCTAGAACTATGCTTGATGAGGCAAAAATTCCTAAGTATTTTTGGGCGGATGCCGTGAGTACCGCGAGCTACGTGTTAAACCGAGCCGTCATTAGACCGATACTCATGAAAACCCCATACGAATTATACAAATGAAGAAAGCCAAACCTCTCCCATCTTCGAGTCTTTGGTTGCAAATGTTTTGTTCACAATAACGGAAAAGATAATTTGGGTAAATTTGATGCAAAGTCGGATGAAGGAATTTTTCTTGGTTATTCATTGCGTAGTAAGGCTTATAGAGTCTTCAACAAACGCACCTTAACCGTTGAGGAATCTCCTCATGTTGTCTTTGCCAAAAATGATGCTCGCTTGGCGAGAAAGGTTTCTTGTGATGATCTTATAGATTCGTTGGAAAATATCTATCTCAACGATGATGACGAAGTAGACAACTCAAAGGAAAGCCAAGATGAAGAAGTAGAGCCACCCGTAAACGAGGAACAACCACAAGAGGAGGAAACGCCAATGCCAAGCCGTACCTCCTGAAGTTTCTTGGTAGGAGAACTGTTCCACTAGCCACTGTAGTTGGCTTTCCATTCATGAGCATCGAGAGAATCCCTGTGACATCCAGTGTTGGCTTTTGTCTCTCAAATTGAACCTACAACCATTTCGGAAGCAATTGATGATGAACATTGGACCTTGGCAATGCAAGAGGAGCTTAACCAATTCAAATGAAATGACGTTTGGGAATTGGTGCCAAGACCCGATGATCACACCATAACTGGTACGAAATGGGTGTTCCGTAACAAACTCGATGAAAATGGAATAATCACTAGAAACAAAGCTAGGCTCGTAGCTAAAGGCTACAATCAAGAAGAAGGCATTGATTTTGAAGAAACTTATGCACCAGTAGCACGTTTAGAAGCTATTCGTTTATTACTCGCTTTTGCTTCATCTATGGATTTTAAGCTATACCAAATGGATGTTAAGAGTGTCTTCCTCAATGGTTTTATTCAAGAGGAAGTGTATGTTGATCAACCCCCGGGCTTTGAGGATTTTGAGCACCCGTAGTATGTCTATAAACTAAAGAAAGCACTCTACGGTCTTAAACAAGCACCTTGTGCTTGGTATGAGCGTTTGAGAAAATTTCTTTTGGACAACGGGTTCAAAAGGGGGAAGGTTGATACTACACTTTTTATCAAGAGTAAAAACGATAACATCCTCTTGGTGCAAGTTTAAGTAGATGACATTATATTCGGTGCTACTAACGAATCTTTGTGCAAGGAATTTTCAAACTTAATGACAAATGAATTTGAGATGTCCATGATGGGGGAACTCAATTTCTTCTTGGGGTTGCAAGTCAAACAAATGAGGGAAGGGACCTTCATTTGTCAATCAAAGTATTGCAAGGAGCTTCTAAAGAGATTTGAAATGGATGGCTCCAAAGCAATGGCTACCCCAATGAGCACCTCCGAGCACCTGGACAAAGATAAAAAGGGTAAGGAAGTAGACGTAAAGAAGTATCGAGGTATGATCGGATCCCTTCTTTATCTTACCGCTAGTAGACCCGATATCATGTTTAGCATTTATTTATGTGCAAGGTATCAATCTTGTCCGAAAGAATCGCACTTAATAGCGGTGAAACGGATAATGAAATATCTTGTTGGTACAATGAACGTTGGACTATGGTACCCCAAAGGGTCTCCTTGTCATCTTTTTGGCTATTCCGACTCAGACTTTGCCAGTTGTAGGTTAGACCATAAAAGTACGAGTGGGACGTGTCACTTGCTTGGTAGTTCTTTAGTCTCATGGTTTAGCAAGAAGCAAGTCAGTGTTGCGTTATCCACAACCGAAGCGGAATATGTTGCCGCCGGTAGTTGTTGTGCTCAAATCCTTTGGATGAAGCAACAACTTGTGGATTATGGCCTTATTATCGATCACGTCCCTCTTCGATGTGATAATACTAGCGCCATAAGTTTCACGAAGAATCCGGTTCTTCACTCAAGGACGAAACATATCGACATTAGGCATCATTTCATTAGAGATCATGTTCTCAAAGGTGATGTCGAAATTGAGTTTGTTGAAACACACAACCAATTAGCCGACATTTTCACAAAACCTTTAGAGAAAGAGTCGTTCTTCCGCATTCGTAGTGAACTCGGAATCCTTGACTCCACGATGATCTAAGTTGTGCATTAAATATGATTTTTGATCCTTACTAACTTGAACGTCAGAGACGTTTTCAACTTTTTTGCAGGGCTCTTCTTTTAATTTTAATTTCAGGTGTCAAAGTCAGGGGGAACAAAGTAAATCGATTTTTTTGCCGGACTTGGTATAAATCGATTTACAGGTTGTGATAATCGACTATCACAGCCCGCAGAAGTTTGGAGCAAGTTAGGCGCAAACCTCAATAATCGATTATCATCATTGGGATAATCGATTATCGGAGCCTACAAAAGGTTGAGGCAACTCAGCTGGAAACACTAACAATCGACTTACAAAAACGTGGAAATCGACTATTGAAGACCGCAGATCATTCAGCGGAGAATCAGAGGCCTCAAATAATCGATCTACAGGGAGTGTAAATCGATTTACAACGGCTCCTCCAACGAAGACCAACTTCTCAATGATCTTTCACCGGACTTCTAGAGCTCTAGCTCTATTCCCTTCTCTTCTTTATTCTTTTTATGCTTTTTAAATTTGCTTCCGTTATGTACTCCGCTATTTCCCTTAATTAATTAATAAAAATCTTTATGGTTTTTGTTATCAAAAATCTTTTTGTTAATGTCAAAAGGAGGAAGATAAGGGCTATGCATATATTAAAGGGAAATTTTTTATTAAGGGGGAATTTTTTTCAAAAAGATCAAAACCCCATGCATATCCCCGTCTTGTTTGCCATTATAAAAAAGGGGGAAATTGTTAGAACACACTTTGTACGATAAACTAAAGTCGTGTTCATTTCTGACAGGTTTTGATAATTGCCAAACCGCCGTGGATATGAAGAGTTTTGTTGAATAACTCAAGGCATGAAGAATGGCTTGGAACAAGACCAAAAAGACTCAAGGACAAGATCAAGAATTGAAGATTAGTCGAGTCGGTCTTTTGTGATCAAAACCGACAATAAATTCAAGTCTCTGTTCTCAAAGAGTCAAAACAATTTTTACAAATCATAAAATATTTTTTGTGCATCAAAACAAATATTTTTGATGATTTTTTTTATTGCTAAAACCGCTGGTCCTTGCTCGGAACCGAAACCACCTAAGTCGGCATTCGGCGTTCGGCTTTCGGCGTTCAGTTTTTAGCGCCCAAACCAACTCCGTGGTTTTCAATATTTTAAACCCTGCTTTTACCTCTGAACATTTTAAAAATGTTCCCAAAAAATTATTATATAAAAACCACTTTTGTATCTTGGTCATTCGGTCTAACACGTGAAAAACGGTCAAAACCGTACGCACGTCCTTGGAGACTTGGTTTTTACCGAACAAGTCTTGTTTTCACTATTTTATGCCATATACAATATTTTTCAAACCTTGTTTTTACTTTTGGGAACACTTCGTTTTTGGACCTCGGTTTTTCAAAACGGGTTTCAGCTGGCTAGACTTTAGCTGGGTGATAATCGATTATCACCTTAGTGACAATCGACTATCAGCCCCTACAACTTTGAACTTCCAAAGTTCTAAAGCACGCAATAATCGATTATCACTTATGCAATAATCGATTATCAGTCTTTGCAAGCCAAAACCCAGATTCTTCTGAGAGGACCAATAATCGATTATCACTTGTTGACAATCGATTATCTGGGTTACCGTTGTCCTCCAACGGATAGAATTTTAAATTTTTGGACAAGGAATCTTTTGATAATCGATTATCAAGCTTGGATAATTGACTATCAGCCTGTGTCCCTGAAAAATTTGTCTTCATCTTGTTGGAAACTCTAGCAACGGGTTTATCCCATTTTGGGCTATAAAATGGCACCCAAATCCTCTCATTTTAAACACAATTCTTCAACATTTCAATACTCTTTCATTGCATAATCATTCCTAATTTTCTTAGCTATTTGAGAGCCAATTCTTGAAGAAATTGTCGTGTTCTTGAGCGTTTACTAGTTCACTCATATCTACTCTTTGTGAGAGTTTTATTCCTGAGTGTTTA